ATATTATAATAATTATATTTTTTACATTTTATAATTACATTGTAAAATATTTAAAAAATATTCATTACTCAGGGAGTTGTATAGAATAAAAAGGTTCTAAGCATTAAAACCTGAATAAACAACTGTTAATTTAAAATTTTTAGTTGGAACTATCTTGTTTTAAGCGACAGATATAAATGGAAATGATTTCTTTATCTAATGTTTCATTTCTTTGAATGAAAAAACCTACGACTAAATTATCAAGGTATTTTATCATTTCATGACAAAAATTAATATTATTACTTTATTAATTATTATTACTTATGTGACTAATTTTATATTATATAAAAAATTATTAATAGTTACATTATATCTCAAATAAAATCATTAGGTTTTTTATCTTGCAATAAATATTATAATATAAATTATTTTAAGACTATTTTGTGTATAAATACCATAGACACAATATCCAGCTATTATGATGTGCATATATGTACAAATTCGGTTATTATACAAAGAAAACTATGAAATATTTTTGAGTAAATTGTACACATATTACCATAATACATTCATAGCACCTCTGTAGTTTATAGTTTTATCATAATAAGTTATGCAAAAATGTGATAAAATAAGTTTTAAAAAATATCATTAAATTTTAAGCATTGCCTAACATCTCTTTACTCGTAGATTAATAATATATCTAGATATATTTGTTATCTAGATAACAAAATACCTATCTTAGTCTACGTTTAAATAACCAGTTATAAAGTCATCTCGTTAAGATAAAAGATAATATTTTTATCTAAATTTTTCAAATATTGACTTAATGTTTAATTTTCTTAGGAATCTATATTTATCTGATGATGAATCGTATCTTATGATCATCAGCCTACCAAGAAATTTATCGGTTATCGTGGAATCCAATTCACCTTTGCAGGAAATGTAATATAAATGTTTTACTTAAAATTTTAAGTTCATTCAATGGTGTGGAGCTGAGTAATTTTTAATTTGATCAAATTGGTAATTGAATGACTTTAGTTTTTATTTTATCTTTTTACTATAATTGGGTAATGTTTACCATTATTAATATCTGTTTTATTAATCATATATTAAACTAAATATTAAGCATGTTCGTATTAAATGTGCAAATTAATAAACAATAAATAATAAACACTTTTTAAATAATAAATAAAATTTTTATAAATATTTTATTCGAAAAGCTTCAAAATTTTGGAACATTCATTCACAGATATTCTAATAAAGTTCCCGCGAACTCCTATTTAGATTTCATTGGTAGAGCCTTATAAGAATCTTCATTTCGTTCCCGACTAAGCTTCAACAGCGTAATTTTTAGCCAACTGTTTTATTAAGAGTATATCTTATATGGCTTTATAAGTTAAATATTTTTATTAAAAAATCATCGCATTGTTTTGTTTGATATTTTAAGAATTATTTAATTTTTTTCAACTTTATAACACTAAATCACTGTATCATTATCATTATTCATCAGAAAATATTTTATTTTTAGTCATTATATTTTTATATTATATTTCTTAGTCATTAAAAATGTTTATTATGATGAAAGTACTGTTAACAAATATGTAACACAAAAATTAGAATAATTGGCTAATCATCGTAATGGGAATAAAATTTCTGAGGTATTTATAACTCCAGGGTATTTTCAAAAGACATCTGTAACAAGTTTATCATTAGTTTTGCTAATAATACTGAACTCACTGCAGTAAAAAAACAACAAAGTATCTAAGTTTTTTTAATTAAAAATCTGTAAACATGTCATTATACTAGTTTACAAGACCGTAAATGAGAAGTTCTTATAAGTTTCTATAAGGTAACTTTGATAATATGATAATATCTATAATAACATAACAAAACTACAATTTGGATACAAAATAATTTAGTTTAACATTATTTATTCAATTAATGAACAATTTTAAGTAACGTTTGAAATTTCTTTTTATTATATTGTAAAATTCTTTCTGAGTTAGAAAATATTATCATAATATATTAAAACATTTTATCGACAATAATCACATTTTGAGAATAAAATATTTTAATAATGCAAATCATTAAAAATACATTTATTTTTTTGCGTTTTAAATAGAGATCGAAGACTTATTTAAAATTAGCTACCCAAGAACTATGTAGATTCGCCGCCTCAAAAATTTAGTTCAAATCTCATTTATTAATACAGTATTTGCAGTATTATTAATTGGAAATTATAAAATAATTTATGCATTTTTTTATAAAATGCAATAATTATTTTGTTGTTATGATTTTCTGCTATTACCTGGCAAATTAATTAAACAATATTTATTTTTTTTTGTAATTAAAAATTGATTAAATTAGTTTTTTCTATCTATTTACATTCATATTGCAATTATTATTTTGTGAAATATTCATCAACAATTATTCTTTACTTAAAACAATTAGTAGGCATGTTTACAAACAATTTTTTCATTGAAAAATTAAAAGTTAAAATTTATTTTTGACTATTTTTTTCTTTATTATTCTTTTAAGGTATCATTTAAGTGCAAAAAAGATCACCACGTGAATTTCAGGGAGACTCTTCCGCCCATAAGTATAACACAGGCAATAAAAGCGGAGTTTTGAAAAAAAATTTGAATAGACTATTTTTAATTTTATGCCTCCCTAAAAAAATTGTTATACCTCATTATGCATAGTTTTCTTACATTTTCGGAAGGGGCTAATTTTACTCTTTTCAAGAGTTGGTATATACCTTGAAATTCCGCATTAGAACATTCTGCTACTAATTGTCTTATTATAACACAGTTTGCTGTTGTCATTTTGTTTTTTAATAGTTTTTTTTGTAACGCTTTTAGACGTATAAAACAAAAATGGCATCGTGTTCAAGTTGATCATATTCATCATAAGGTAGAAAACATTTGTCGGGTCGTTTACATGAGTTTATACAAACGTTTAAGAGCGTTAAATATCTTTTAGATCGGCAGTCAAGACATTTTTTTTTTTTTGTTTCATTCTCGGCTGTGTTTTACGTGATAGTCGGTTTGGAAAACTAATGGACGCCGCCAAAATTATTACTCTTTATCAACCAGGCAAAACCGCAAACCCGTCGTGTGGGCGACAAAGGTCCCACGTCGCTTTAAACTAAACGATACGAATTAGTCAGGTTCTCTCATGCCGCCACGTTTGTGGCTATGGTCAATAATACCATTACATTAACAAACCTACCAATCCATAAGCAAAAAAAAATAAAATATTATCGCCCGTATTTTAGATCTTTACAGTTAATTTTTGATGTTTTATATTCAAAATTGCAATTGTCATAATACTATACCTATACGGATTAATATATGTGTATTTATATGTTTATTACAGCTGAAAAAAACTCGAATTCACGCACCGTTTGTCACGATGTGCAGTAAATTATAATATTATGTTGTAATATTTTAGGGTTTATTTACTTTTGTTTTAAACGTTGATTTTTTTTTTTTTTTGTTGTACCTAGAATATAGGTTTTACTGTTGATAATAATGACAAGTACATGCGTGTTCAACTGTGCGCGAGAATGCAATTTAAGTGAATAATGGATATTTATGAACTGCTGAATTTAGGTGGCTGTTATTCGTTTATTATTCATTGTTCTCAAACAAAATGAGATATTACTAGGTGATTTTTTTTATCTTCCTTGAAGAACCCGTTTGTAATGTTTTAATGCGTCTTTGGTTTCCATCTGTAAAATCGTTGAGCTTGTGTGTAAATAATTACAACAACGCAACGCCGTTATCGAAGCTCGCTATCAACGATTTTATTTTCGTACCTTCTACTTAGATTACCATCACGAATTCCAGTCGGCAATGAATCGTGACAGTCGTTCGTCGTTCATTTTGCACAAGAATTATTACCTGCCGGTTGAATAAAAAAAAAATTACCAATAAAATGGATTTACACGGAAATAAATAAATAGCTTTAACGTATTATGTCTTCTGTACATAGTGCTTTCGCGTTTCGAAAAAGTCATTTATAATATATATCGTAGTCCTAGCTGCTGCGGAAAATAATAAAAAGTAAACAATTTATGGCGTTGCGTCAACCGTAACCTGCGAGTGTTGAATATTGTTAGTGCGTCTCGGTCGCCACATCTACCGAACGGGCTATTGAAACATAGTTGGCCATTCACTAGTATAAGTAACAAATGAAGACTTTATGTGCTCGTTAAATATCCTTGTGCATTTACTTGTGAATTTCTATGACATTTCTAAACGTTCCGAACAAAACAAATATTCTATTTCACAACCCTTAAGTCCTTTTCTTATCATGTTTTATTTAACTAACTGACGTTTACTTGGTTTGAAATTTTTATTCGAGTAATTCTTTATTTTATTCGAAGACGTTTAATTTGTCTTTCGACTTTGTTAGACTCTGACGTGTGATTGATTTCATAAAAACGGTGCTGATAATGAAATATATATATATATATATATTTGGTGACAACGCAAGCATTATTATTTTATAAAATATCAAAATAAAAGTAAAAAGTACAGAAGATTAATTTAGAAATCTTCTAAAAACATGTTTTTAACATTACTATAGGAAACGTTTTCCCCAAACAAATTCTAAAGATTATATATTTCACTTTTCCTTTGATATAACTACAATGTTTTGACTTTAAGCCTGAGAGCATAAAATTTAACATTTTAGTTTTACTTTGATGTCCTCTTCACTCTAAAATTATAAAGGCAGTTTAACATACAAAATATAAAATTAATGAAGTTTATAAATGTTAATATTAACTTGAATTTTTTTACAATTTATCATATTGATAATTTAATTTACGTATGTCAAATGAGAAATCGAAAAAAAGTTTTTGCTTACATAGTTAACTAATATATATATATGATTTATTAGTGTATTATAATACTTATCTACACCACTTGTTGTTCCCACAGTACTCTTTATTGCTCTCAGTTTGTCGATAAAATCCATTTATTAATTTATTTTATTTAAAATGCTTGTTTTAGATTTACAAAAGGACGGACCAGAACCGGAGTTTCTCAATGTAATGAATAACGTTACTGTTGCTTTAGGTCGGGAGGCGGTTTTAGAATGTTCAGTGAAAAACATTGGAGAACACAAGGTATATTACAATAAAACGGCTTTCACTGCAGGGTGTTTATTTAATAAACAGAGAGATTTCATATTTTTAAAAATATTATGGTGTTACACAAAAGAGTAAATCTTTGTTAAAGAGTTATAATTTATGATAGCAAAGAGAAAAAAATTCGATTTTATAGTATACTATCTGATACGTAAATTCATTGATCAACATATATTGTCTATATATTTTGTCGTCCTTTGGTAATCTAACACAATTACTTACACTGTACGAAATAATCCGAAAATGCGTTAGTATGAAACATTAATTACACCAATTAAATTTACTCACAAGTAGTATACTTTTATCATAAACCTTCAAAAATTTGTGCACAAATATAACATTTTTAATAATATTCATCAAAAATTTGTATTGCTATACTTCCATTGCGCCTATGCAAGTTAAAAGATTTTTTTTAAAAAGTGTACTTTGATTTAAAAGTTTAATCATGTAATTCAAAATGATATACCTTGGCATATATCAAGTTAAAATAGCATCTAAATTAAACAATTGACAGATCCATCAATAAAATAAATAAAAAGAAATATTAAAATAATATATATATCCTCAATTTTTTTTTTTTTAAACATATAGTGTATAAATAAAATAATATCGTTTGTATATTTGTTCAAACAAACAAGATTGCAATTTGTTTTAATTTAATATAGTTAAATTATGGTGATTAATTAAATATTTTTAACAGAATTTATGATTTGTAAATATGTTTTATAATATGTAACCAAGTGTGGGTGTAAGTATACAGGGTGTTCACGAGGTATGGAAACAGGTCATTTGTTACTAACAATGAGAACAATAGATACCCGTTTCCTTATTTACTGAACACTCTATAGATGATTACAGCTATGCCAAATAATCACACTTTATTACAATGGGCTGAAAATTGATATGCGTATTTATTAAAAAGTCAAATTAAGTCTTAAACGTGACTCAAGTTTTCGTATAAGCACTTAATTATTTCATATATTTTTTTGATAACATATATATATATTTTAATGTAAAAAAATGAAAAATATAAATTTTTAATTGTTTACATTATAAATAACGTTTTTTTTTTAGTTTAGGCTATTTTAAGTAAATATAAGTTTCGATTTCTATAAATGAAGAAAAAACAACTATGTTATAGTTGTTTTAAGATTTTTGAACTATTCCATTTAATTTACAATCTGTATACTATAAAACTGTTAAAATATTTAAAATATAAAATTTAGATATATTTTGGTAATTTATTTTCTCGTTTATTCATTTAACGACTAATTAACATTATTTTTTATTTTTTTTCAAAAATACTTTTTTTTAATAAAATTTCAATACAATAAAATCTTATTTTTTTTTTAATTCAGTCGAAACTAAAAACAAAAATCATCGATAGTGTAGTAAAAATAAAAAAAAGAGAAAATTGGATTTAGTTACCCCAAAAATTATACCAACTAACTGGTGATATTATTACAAGCCTATTAGTACTTGCATTAACTTAACTTATCTCGTTAAGTTAATAAGATTTTGTTAACTTAAGTAATCAAAAAACAAAAAAAAAAAAAGTATATATATATATAAGTGGGTTAACTTGTTTCAATTAATTTAAAAAGTTAACAAAATGTGTTGACTTGCAAAATTTAATATATATATTAATTTAACACGAAAAAAGTATTTTGATTAAAGAAATTATTTTTGTCTTAACTATTATAATTATATAATATTTAGCTGTTAATGTAAAAAAACTGTTTCATATTTTATTGTAATTTATAGAATAATCTATTATAGTTATTTTTCCTCATTGTAGCAGTTATAAAAAGCATCAATAAAACAGCAAAATATAAGCCGAATTATGCTTAAATAATAGTATGAGTCTATTGGTATTTTAGTTTTCCACTAATTTTCCACCAGATTCCTCTGAACACCTAAATTTAATTTTTTACTTACGATTATCAGTTTTTAATTGATCATTCGATACAATGTAACATATTTTTTTGAATAAATTATTTTACAAATAATAATTTAAAATATGGCAAACCGTTTTTTAAATAGTATACTATTAAATCAGTAGTAATTTTATGTGTTAATTTCTAAAAATATTTTTTAAACATGTTTAATTTAAAAATGAATCAATAGACAAAGTACATTGATATATATATATTAATAGACAATGCATATTAATTATCATTAAAATATATTGATTTGTATCCTTTAATATAAGATATATTATAAATGTATGTATTAAGAAAATATATTTTAATTATGATATAGTTTATTATTATAGTATATAGAGTGTTCAGTAAATAAGGAAACAGGATTCTATTTCTATCATTGTTTGTAACAATTGACCTGTTTTCTTACTTACTGGATACCTGTATATTATATTATATTTGAAATTATTTTGGAAACTATTATTTATTTTACAGGTTGGTTGGTTGAAAGCTGAAGACCAAACTATTTTAAGTTTACATGAGCGAGTCGTAACCGAAAATAGAAGATTTGATATTGATATAGTCAACAACACTTATTGGAGACTAAAAATTAGACAACTCCAGAGGTCAGACAAAGGATGTTATATGTGTCAAATTAATACTCAAATAATGAAAAAGCAAATTGGTTGTGTTGACGTTAAAGGTATAATTTTTATAATTGAACTTTTAACATATGTACTTTTTCAACAGATAAATAAATATAATTTGTACCTAATTTAAGTTTAAAAAAATTATAATTTGAATTCAATAGTAGTAATAATTTAATTAAAAGTGATTTAGATCGATGTTCACGTTCTAAATAACACAAAAATAAATCAAATAAAATAAGTAAAGAATGAAAATATTGTATAAGACTATAAGTTCATAGATATTCACATTCTCATATTTTGACAACTTTTATATCGGATCACAATATTTTAAAAATAATTTATAATTTGTAACTCTAATCTCTACACAGGGTTGGCTAAACAAAGTACTGTTCAAAGTCTTGTAAAAATCTCGTAATGACATTATAATTTTTTTCGGGAAAAAACTATTTTACAAATAGTTTTTATATATTATTTCGATTTTAGGTAAAATATTAAAAACATACAATAGGAAACGTACTCGTAATAAGTGTTCCCATTAAAAAAAAAAATCGAATAGAAGTAATGCAGACCAACTAAATTTTCCTATTCATGTTAATCAATGTACCTATTGATAAAGTAATTTTAGAAGTTTATTAGGAACGCAGTACTTTATAAAAAAAATTACTTTTATAAGTATATAATCACCACAAAGGAGAAAATATATGCTAAAAAAGAATACAATGTGTCATGTTTTATTCTCACAAAAACAAGTATCTTTCTCAATTTTAGTGTAAACAACGTCATAGAACACACATTAACTTGACAAAAACAATGGTTATTTTTAAAAATATTCTTAATTTATACATTGCTAAAATTTTACATGAACTCTATTCTTCTTTAGTAAACTATATTATAATATTTACTATAAAATATATTAATTTATTCTAACTATCATTTTCATATAATAGTCATATTCTAGATGTTGCACAATTAGTTATACACAACTAATTTTAAAATCGAGTTTATTTATAAATGAGAAATATTATAAAAAATACATTTTTCTATCGCTTATTGTATGAATCAAGTTAATAATGTTAAATAAAAAATATCTACGATATTAAACACTAAAAGATATTACCCTTGGGCATTAATATCATTATTTTCTGAGACCTTTTTTTGTTTCTTGTTATTGATATGAACGTTTTATCTCTTTAAAATTCAGCACGAAAATATTAATACGAAAATTCGAATAGTAAATAAAAACGTTTTATTGTTAGTCTGCGTATAAAATAAATAAGTTAAATGCTTTCGATTTACATAGTTCCACCAGATATCAAAGACGAAGAAACAGTATCAGACATTACGGTGAAAGAGGGAGAAAATGCTACTTTATCATGTAAAGCAAAAGGCAATCCTGCACCAAAAATAACTTGGAGAAGAGAAGACGGTCAAAAGATAGCTATTAAAAACAAGCCAAAAAAAATAATGGGTAAGTGATTTTTTTTTTAACAACATTATTAGCAACAAATATTTTATCAACTTTGATGTGTAGCTGAAAATATTTTTATTATGATGAGATTTTTGAATCTGTTCAATGTAGAATTCTTATCTATGTGTTATAGTAAAGATAGAAACATTACCCGACTCCTCCCCTTTTCTAAGCCTTTAAATGCTAATATCTCAAAAAGTATTATGTAAAATAGGTTTTCAATCAAACAAAATTTCATTTTGATCATTATTTATTCGATATTAATATATTAATTATAAATTTCCATATTACTTTTGAAAGTTATTCCTGCACTTTACCACTAGAAATAAATGTTCGTACAATGAACTTGATATTTACTATGATTCATTAAAATAAACAAAATTTTAATCTATTAATTTTTACGCAAAAAACATTTTTTAACTAAAGTTGGGGAGTGTTTTCATTAATCATTTTGTGTAGCTTCGATAGTTAAATGAAAAATAAAAAAATTACTTTTACATTGTTCTAATGAAAATCAAGCAAGCATTTTATTCAGATTGAAAAAATAACTAGTTAAATTAAAAAAACTCTAATAAAAAGTAATGAGTTACCTAACTTAATTAAATTAAATTAACATTGATGCGTTAAAATTAATATGTTAATATCCAGCTTTAGAAATATATATATATGTTTCGAAATACAAAATTTTAAGTTTAAAGTTTGACACCATAAGAAATTTCAAATTTCTATTTTATTTTAAGTGGAAAAGGTTCGTGGTGAGCTGTTGTTGCTTAATAAAGTTGATCGTAGTCAAATGGGTCATTATTTGTGTATAGCTTCAAATGATGTACCACCGGCTGTCAGCAAAAGAATAACTCTGAATATAAACTGTGAGCATTCCTTGTTTATTTTTCGTAATAAAATACTACATTAAAATTTTTATTTATATATTTATGTATTATAATTATATTATTACAGTTGCGCCAGTAATTAGAGTTACAAATCAGCTATTAGGAGCACCGTTACACACGAATGTCCGATTAGAATGTATTGTAGAATCATTCCCAAACTCTATAAATTACTGGTCAAACACAAAAGGAGAGATGATTCTTGGAGGGTAAATATCAATATTCAATAAATGTATTATCAGTTAAATTAGTCAAAATATTAAAATAAAAATATTTTTAACAGTTTTGAGATTTTTACTGGTTAAATTATACAGTGAGTAATGTCTATTTTGTATATCGTCTGGCAAAATAATTTGTATAATTATAGTATAAAGTATAATTTAATCATTCGTTCAAACATTTTTCTAATTAAGTTGACCATATTTAAAGGTCTGTAAGACGATGGCAGTTTGAGAGACAAATTATTTTCTTTAAATGATGTTTAAATATTTACTTGATTTACTGTAGGTAATTAATTTTCTATGGATATATTTTTTTTGAGGTTATTAAGTTATTATTATATATATTTTAGTGAACTGTATTGGATATTTACCAGATACATTTAAATTTGATAAGAGTTTATACATGAATTAACGTTATATCTCATACCATACAAATCCTAAATTATTGCTAAAATTTGAAACCAGAAAATACCATAAACGAAAAAAGTCCAAGACCGGTATTGAGATAAAACCGAAATAATAAAACTTATATAATTCCAAAATCAATATCGGAAGAAAAAAATTCAAATTAAAAGTACTGATTTTATCCATTATTTACTTTTTTCCTACTTGTCAAAACAATCTGATTCAGCAAGTATATATTTAAGTTTTTTGTTATTCGATAGTCCAGTCACGTTTTTATTTTAACGTAAAATTAATTAGAGCAGACATCTACTGCCATTTTTATCCAAGGAAAATTCATTTTTCTAATCAATACTAATGAACAACGATAACAACGTTTTTTATATTGATAATTCAAATAAAAATGTCTGTCAATATGGTTAATTAAAATAAACAAAACAACATACCCAATTTAAAAATTAAATTATATATATATTTCTATAAAACCTTAGCATTGAAAAACCAGTACTAGAGTATATAGTAAAAATTTGATTAAAAATTTTACTTCAAATATGAAACTAATTAAAAATTATTTTTATTCTAATATCTGCTATAGAGAAAAGTGTTTGGTATTCAAAACAATTGTAATAGTAAGCAAACATTATTTAACAAATAGTGTTTAAAAATTATCACAATATTTGGTACATGGCTTTTTAGTTAGCTCCATATTATAATTAAGAAATATATTCCAATTTGTATAATTGTATTAAATTTTAATGTTTTACTGATAAAATTGTATGTATTTCTACTGCATAATACTATAAATGTATAGAAATGACATAATTTCTTAAAATCTAGAGTTATGTAGGAGTTTTTCAAAAAAATATTCAAACTATTATTATAAAACAAGAAACTACAATTAATATATTTTCTAGTATACATTTTTAAAACGCAATAAAAATAATCATTGAGTCGTAAAACAACAAGGTGTTGTAGTTTAATTTCTGTAATTGTGTTATTAAATATTATTATTATTGTTGCAATATCACTGTTGTACACACTGGCCACTGATATAGTGATAACAACCATGTACCGGTTTAATAGGGTAATAATAATATATATCCTCAACAACTAGTTTGAGCTTTTCAATATAATAGTTAAATAGATCATACCAACTGCCATTTAATGTAAATGAAAACTTATAAAAGTACGGAGTTTCTTGATTTAAATTGACCAACATGAACTGAACATTTTATAAAGAATGACTTTTCTTCTGATATCGGTATTGGAAATGGAAAATCTGAACAATTTAATATTTCATAACTATAGAATAATGGGCAGACATCATGATGGAAGGTTACAGGCTGTGAACAGTGAGCGAAGCAAATATTCGGACATTATCTAGAAAAAAAAATTTACTTCTTAAACTTCCATTGTCTACAAGACCTTTAAGTATGGTCAACACCATTAAAAAAATGTTTGAACGAGTGATTAAAACATATCCTATAAAGGTAGTTCCAGAGACAAGTTGTTTCTTCTAGACTATGTCGAATATATATATATTTGACAAACTGTACATCCAAATGGTGATATTTTAAAAACAAAATTTGTATTGAATTGTAGTTTGTTAATATGTCAAATGATAGATTAATGTCATGTCTAAAAAAAACAATTACTATTTCAATTAATATGAAATTAATTCATTTGTTTTTGATGTTTATTCAAATAAAAAATATGTTTGAATCAATATTTTTAATTAATTTCGAAATTCGTTTACCATTTTTAGATTTTCTAATTATTACCTATGACGAAAACAAAGAGTACTCAACGAGGGCTTATAACTATTGTGTTTATCATAGCTTATCAGGTATAGTGGGTATTAATATAAACGAAACGGACATGAAATTGTACTGACGGTTCGATTCTAATTATTAATAATAATACAAATCCATTTTCTGGTCAGTTTTAATTTTTACGCAATAATATATTATTTCGATGTTCCATGTTTTATATCATTATTGTTATTATTACTGCTGTTATATGGAGCATTACGTGTTTGGCCGATGCGCTTTCGAGGGTCAAGTGGAGGATGGGGTGCCAGAGTAAGGCCAGTAATACAAATGAGATATGACCGTTTCAATGCGAACCGACCGTTTTGTCGCCGTAATTAAATCCGCAGAAAATATTGTGCGATTCCGCGGAAACACGGCGCTACAATAAATACACAGACAACTGCCTCGCGCGTTCACGTCCAGTCCGGCGACGGTCGGAGGCGAACACATATTTTCACGCCATTAACCACAGTGACAGTGGGTTCGACCTTCGGTTCCATCCATTCCTATATGAATGCACCCCCAAAACACACAAACTAAAGTACTTAGGGGTACGTGCTAAAGCAATTGATGCTATTACCACCACCGCACAGAGATGGCATAAAACTGTTTGCGAGAACGGTTGACCGTCATCATTCTTCTTCAAGCCGTTTCCGCAGGGCTATTCGTCCAATACCGTCACGATTTCCCACACGACTGACGTTTTTTTATCAAGACCCGTTCTATATAATGCCCCTACATTCATTTATACGCGCAAACATATATCAAGTTTATGAAATGTACTACGGGCCGAACCCCCCTCCCCCCCTCCGGCTACTAGAAAGAAGTGCTTAGACATACTAAACGGGCATGGTGTTTTGCTTAATGGCGTTTGCATGACGTGTCACATAAATCCATTTATGCTATTGTCACAACACCAGAAGCTAAGAAGTAAACATTTTTCATGTGTATATTTATTGAATGGATTTTACGAGCAATTATATAACCCCATCATTGAAGTTTCTATTTTTTTCTATTATTTTTTGCAAACAAATCTACGCAAAAATATTTTTAGAAATATTTGTAAAATACCAAGAAATATCATTGTTATGTATAAATTAAAACAAATTTATAAATCCAAATATTAATACCTTAAGCTTCAAATTTTTTTAATAATTCTACTAAAATATGAAAATATTTTAAACATCTTGACGTAAAAAAAGTTTATGAATATCAATTATTTAAACTTTTTATAGTGATCATTTTACGGTACGGTTGAGATTATAAGGCATCAACTAAAGAATTATTTGCAAATTTATTGAAAACACAGTTGTTTCTCTTGGAGAATAATTAAATGTGGGATACACGATTAAGTAGCTACTTTAATAATTATTATTCCGAATATTAAAGTATATCTTATCTAATACTTGTCTAAAAGGGTATTAAAATTGTTTTGTTTAGATAATCATATCAAATAATTATGTTGTTGACTATATTTGTACCAAGAATCAACCATATAATTTTTTAGCATTACCAAGCTATATAAAATAATTTAAACATTATGTATATGGGGCTGTTTGGTATCAAACCAAGAGACAATTTGAAGAAATTCCAGAGAAATACAAAATTCAATTATTATTTTTTCAAACGTTATTTTGATACATTTTACCTTCAGTGAATTATAATTAAATGTATGCTCAAGTAGTAAAATCAAAATATAAGAATAATTATGAGTAAAATTAGGATTATTCTTTAATTATTCTTAAATATTCTTACAAATTTCTATTAATGATATCTGTTTTTCCTGCGCCAATTTAGGTTATGCTGATTTGGCTATAAATTTAAAATTATATTTTTACATATATTACTTTATTACATTATAATTATTGTTTACAAGACCTTACCTTATAAAAATCATTCAGTCTGAAATTAAAATAAGGTAGTTTTCTTTTTTAACATGATTAATTATGATTTAATAATTTCCTTTTTAAAAAAAGTAGTTGAACTTTAAGGAAATATAAATTTCACTGGGAAACGCATTATAAAAACTGGAGTTTGAATCTGTTGCGCTGGGCTTTACAGATTTTTCTTTTCTTTTACTAATATAGCACAAATTATTCTGCTAAAGGTTAAGAATATATATAAAAAAAAAGATAAAAAAATGTTATAAAACATGTTGGGTTCTAGTGTAAATACACTTAAAAAATTTATTTATTTTATACTATGTACCTTCTTTTGTATTGCTATAGACCAAAATATTACATTGAAGAGATTAAAACCACTTACGCCGTCAGACTACTTCTGACAATTCAATTTTTAAACCATAAAGATTTGGGTACTTACAAATGTTCAGCAACAAACTCAATGGGATATGCTAATGGTTCAATACGAGTGTATGGTGAGTTATTTAAACAAATTGATGACTGTTATAAATTTGTGAAAATAATAATTATTAAAAATAATGTTCATTGTCTTTACAATGAACATTATTTTACTTATCTTTATAAGTAAAATTAAAAAATTCTATTAACAATTATTTCATCAAAAGTATATAATCAATAAATAAAAAAGTATACATCATAATCTGTACTTAAAATTTAGCGGTACAAGAAATGACTGGTAATTTTTACAGAAACGTTTACGAAAAATAATTATTTTTACAACTATGGTAATATTTATATTATTTTAATTAACAGTAAAAAAAATAATTTTATTTCAAATTATTTTACTATCCGTTTCCCATACCGTTGTTCTACTAAACTTTTTAAGGATCCAATTAAATTTAAATTAGTCTCGTGGGCATAATACTCTTTACTATCCGGGCAAAAGTAGCAGTGAAAATATTCGTACATGTCGGAAATGAGTTGTCGAAAATACCGATGATAAATTTTACTGCCTTGAGCAAAGGCTTACGTGCACGTTTTCAATCGCGAAGATGAGAGAGTATCGCGCACAAACTTTTGCCTCTCAATAATCCTTCGTTTATTTTTACCAAAGAAACTAAAACGTTCTATAGCTGTAATAGTAGTTGCTGGATTCCAAAGTACTTTATCCTTTTGCAATTAACGTGCACATCGTTTTAGTCTTTGCCGCCCGATATCATTCAGCGTATTTTATTAACATTCTAAAGAAATGAAATCCATAGAAAAAACATTGAAACATACACGTCTTCTTACATGTATGCACAAAAGTATTTTACATTTACGACTTGTAACTACATGATCGTACAACGTATTTACAGCTTTTTGAAGTTTCTGTAAATATAAACAAAAAACAATAAATTACCTGTAAAACTTATTCAAACATTTTTCGATTTATTATTTTTTGTTTACTTACAAATAATATGACTTTGACTTAAGCGATAATGTGAAACAAACTATATTATTACTTAATACTAATGAAATATTTTAAACGTTATATTAAATATCAAGAAGTATAGTAATAGTAATAATAATAAAAAACCATCTATATAATGAACCCCACGCGTAGGACTAAAATTATTTTCAGATATGTTTTTCCTGGGAATAACCTAAGGTGCTAAATTTTCACGTAGTTATTTAAGGCAGCATAACACAACAGATGGTTAAAACTTATATTAGTTTCACATGTTAGTGGCTATTTTTTTAACGTCCACCCAAAAAACTAGCCGTTGTATACATTAAATTTGGATAAATGATGCGTGACCCACGGTCCTCAATGCCTACACGGCGTCACGTTATCACCCAACTTTACTGCAGGTGCTAGTAATATCCTTTCGGCAAATTTGTGTCACACTATTATTATAACATGAGCCTACATTAGTTATTTTTTTTTCTTTTTAATAGGCTTCTTTGAACTTTGAGGACAAAATTTGTCGATTAAAATGTAGTTATACTATTTTATTTAAAAATTCAAAATAATACTTCTTACTCAATACATGTACAGAATAACTCTATTTTTCAATATAATTTAAAATTAATTAAATCTCATGTACTACATAATAGAAAATTTAACATATTAAATTATTTGGTCTCAAATTGTTTTTTGAAAAAGTGACTACACCCATGAGGTTATCTACTCCATATTACATTATAAGCCAGGGATCAGATAAAAATGTATATTTTCATTTAATGTTGAAATATATTATAACGTTATTTTATAATTAAGTTTAACGTTATTCAACATTTAAACGTTGTTAAAATTTGATGTTTAACGTTTTTAATGTTAAAACGGCTACTACATTTTCACGTATAACGTTAAAGTGATACAAAACATAATTCATTACCAGTTTTTAATATGAGTAAATGACTACATTTTTTTTACGTAAAAAAGTTTTCAACCTTTTCAAAGTTTGAAAAGAATTTATTTATATTTTAATAAGAATTTTTCACGTTGTAAAGTGAATCATGTTTAAACATATTTTTCGTTTATTGATATCACGTATTTTTATTACATTTTGACACAATTTTTTTATTTAAACGTTATAATTTTAAAATTATTCAAAAATTTGACTTGACCTGTTATAAACAAAAATAAAACGCTAATATAGGAAGTTTGTAAAAGACCATGCATTTTTTATTGTCGTAACCAACATGACATAACAATACCCTATAAAAACAATATTGTCTACTTTTTATACGATAAAAATGATTGATTATTGTAGAGGTTGTGTTTAATATTTTTTATTATACTTGGAGTGATTATATTTATCTTTTGAGAGAAACGTTTTCAAGTATAGTTTAGGTGACAATATTATTATATCTTTAACTAATCTAAATAATGTATTTTCTTAAAAAAGAACACTATTATGTTTAAAACTCAGTTTTCAGTTAATGTTGTAACCACAACAAAGATCTAAAATTCTGGGAAGTGTTTTTTTTATCAAATTTAGACAATTAAAACTTTGTTACACTTTTAAAATTTTCATGAAATATAAGGCATTTAATATTGTTAAAGTAGATTTATAACTTCTTTTAAAAAAATTAATTTATTATATAAAAAAAGAATCATCATACTAAAAAAATTAACACCCTATTTTCTAAGCATAAATAGAAATTTTTTTTCTACGTTTTGACAATTAAAATGTTAATAATATAATTACGATAAACGTTTTATATAATTGTTTTAATTATGAATTTTAATATTTTCTGTTTTACGGTTTTCGATATTCAAACTTTAAGTATTTTGATGTTCAATCGGAAAAATTGTACTAACAAATTTTTTTATAATTTTCCCATTTTAGAAATTTAAATTTAAGATTTTTATATCCTGAAGAGATGAAACACATATTAACTGTGTTATTGTATAGTTTTTTAAACCTAATAATTTTTCTCTTTTTAAAAATCAAAAATTTCCAATAGTTTCTAAGAAAATGAGCGTCTTACTAATTTTGAATGATCTATATAGACCTAAATAGAACGAGTTTTTTATTCTGAATAAAAGCAATAATTAATTTAGTGCCTTATTAACTTTTTTTTGTTTATAAAAGTATATTTTTAATTATAATAGGATAATAGATAATACATTTTAATAAAACAATATTTTTACCACATTTCACTGACTTTTTAAGACATTAAGGAAGAATATTTAATACTTTTTGAGAAAATACTAACATTATATTCTGACCATTTCAAAATTATACCGATATTTTAATACAAATCTTGTTAAATTGGTTATCAAAGTATTATTAAATATTTTAATTTATCTATAAAACAGTATTCGTGCATATCATTTTATTCTTAAAAATGTAGTAAAATTATAATACATATATCGTGATTATTTTATCATTATCCATTTAATTAAATTAAAATGAAAAATATATTTAACATTTTTTGGGATTTTCGGTTAATTACATGTTTTTATCAATCATAAATTATTTTTTATTTTTATTCCTTATACATAATATAAATGATAACTTACTGACTAATATTTTAAAAGTTATTAACATTCGTATACCTAAACGAGAGGAGTGCATTTTGAAAATACTAATAATAAAAAAAGTAAACCCGCACCTCACCCATTAATTAATATTGTTAATAACTTTTTAATCCTTATAAAAGATGTTCAAAAACAAAAGTGATTTAATTGATTATTAGAGTAGATATTTCAGGAAACATTATACTTACGTAATAAATATAAACAAATTCTAAATATTTTTTTTTTAATATTGAAGAATTTATTATTTATTAATTGATACAAAATCTTACATAAATATCGATTATATAACTGATAGTTTAGTGAAAATGTGTAATTGCATAAATTTGTTTAAATACATGAAAAAGAGTACAAAATATGGCAAATCATTCACAGTAGTGTCAATCGTATTTTTATTAGTGTAGAGTATCTATCAGTAAATCCATGGAATATTCGATTATTAAAAGTTAAAATTTTGAACTCTGTGACAATAACTCTTAACTTTTTTTTATAATTTTGAATACTTTTATAGGATATTTCATTTCTTTATAGACATAGTCATATGTAAATTATATTTAGCGTCTTTTAGTAATTGATTGAGTAATACTGTTTTTAAATATATTTAGTAATTTCTTAGCCCATCATACTAATTACCTTATCTTCATTTTTTAAATTTTAATAACACTACAAATGAATAATTATTTAATATAACGACATAACTAGAAGATAAAACATTCTACATATGACTGTATTTGATCCTTCTTGTCGTAAATTGAAAAAGATAGCAAATTCTTTTATTTGAAACCAATAAATATTTTTACACAATATATTTTCTTTTTTTGCGTATTATTAAAATAATAGCAATAAATGTTATTATTGAAACTGAAATTAATACTAATTCTAACTTAAAGTTATACTTATAATAATTCAACTTCTTTTCCTAAAAGTAGTTTTACCCTTAATTTTTTGTTATTGAGTTCAAAATGATAGAAAGTTAATACGGATGCATATATTATTTCACTAGCTCAATTCTAACTTTATAGAACAGTTTCGTTTTACCGAATAACAATAATAATAATTTTCTGATGCAACATGAGCGTAGTTTTTGATATAAAAAGTCAAAGTACTCAGAACTTTAATAAAATTGGCATTCGTCTGTTTCTTCCACATACGTTAACTACAACGAATGAAACAATGGTTCTTCAATGAATCGACAATGGACAGAAAGAAAAAAGAAAAGAAACTTTGATTAAAACAGTCACGTATAGAAGGGAATATAAAATAATAGAACTTTTGTCTCGTTCACTTTTCCTTTTAATTAAACATTTCATTTTATTTTGTTATAGTAAAAGCAATAATGTTCAGCTAGTAATACCCGATTATAAATAACTATTTTATTTTAACTAAAAAAGTGACAATTGTTTTTCATTATTTTATTTGATTGTTTTAGAAATAATATTACCAACAACTGCGCCAACAACAGCAATGCCTACAACAACAACTACTATTTCTACTTCAACTACTACTACTACAACAATGGCTACATCGACAACTACATTAGCTCATACAACAGGCGAGTCTAAATATTAACACTATAATTATGGTAACATGTACTTTTGTGTAACTTAGTGAATATTGGGGTAACATCAATTACCCATGTGACTTTGATATTTATAGAATTTTTCATTTATTTTCAAGGAAAACTAAGTCATCACATTTTAAAATCACTCCAATCTAACGCGTTAAAACATATTTTTCATGCATTTATAATTAAAATAATATATGGTATTCGATTCTTATAGCTATGCCTCCTTCAACGACGAAATGGAAAAACAGTAAAGGCTTAGAAAGTAAGTATTTCATAACAATAATTCATTCAATATTGCAAGTCTGTATTAAAACTACTTATTTAACTACAACTTTAACTAATATAATATTATTTATGTATTGGTGGTTCTCAAAAGTAGGTTAAATGTGGTTTAGTATTCGTATTAAAAGAAGCTTAACAAATATTAAAAAATAAATTATTACTACGCTACAAACTTGATAATGTTTGTTGATTATAAAGTTTTATTAATTTCTTATCATAAAGTATTCTTTAGTAATTTCCTACAAAAAAAGAAAATGGTGTTTAATATATCAAAAATTTTAAGTTTCTTTAGGTATAGGAAAAAAATGATAATTTCAACGTTAATTTTCATTTCCAATTCGTAGAATATTTTTATTTTACCTTCTCAAATATTGTGAATAAGTATTTTGACAAAAAATTAAAATATATGTGATTAAAATGTATATTGAATCAATATACATTTAATAAACATGTATAAAGATACAGTATTAACTTTTTTTTGGTATAGTTATTTTAGTGAAAACGTAAAATATACGTAAATAGAAAGTTAAATAATTTTACAAGAATTATGCTTTGAAAAATCAATTTTTAAGTATTACTTTTTTTTTTTTTGTACATAAAATTTAAGTAAATAATATACAATTTTAATTATAATATTATATTAAGACAATAAAATCGACACAGGGAAAATGAAAAAAAAAAATTAATTTATTTGTACATTACATTAAATAACTTTATAAGATTCATCATTACTCTATAAATCTAATAGCTTACAAAATGTATAATATTTCTAAAGTTTTCAATTTACTTCGTGTTTATTAATATATTCAATTGTTTATATGAAAATAAAAGTATTAACTGTTTAATAATAACAAATACGACCATACTTGGGCTATTCATAATATTATCAATAAACATAAACCATTTACAGTGTATCGACAATTTTGATAGAGTGGACTTAATTATCGACAGTTAAAGTTTTCTAGCTATGACGAACTTCAGGACTTAAACAACTAATATAAGCAATACAAATAAGTAAACGTAGCTATTCATTTTAATTGAAAATATTATATTTATAAATTAGAATTTTCTGTCATTGAACATCTTACTTCTACGTTTATTTGAAAATATTAAATATACATTTAATAACATATGACAAATATGCATATTTTCAAATCATGTATAATGAGCATATGCTCATCACATGCAATAACCAAAAAATGCCCGTGAATAAGTTCGATGTACGTAAAAAAAAAAATAATAAGTGAGACAACAAATGTGTACCTAATATAAAAGACGCAATAAAAGGAAGATTGTGGACCGAGATTGTTTAACACTACTACAGTGTGTTCGACACAAATATTGAAGACTTTTCTGTGAGAATATCTTTTTACCGACTGAGTCATAAAAACATGAAACGGTTAAGGTGAAATGACTTTTAGCAACTTGGAGCAGAATAGCAGGCCAATTTCAACAAATACCTACTTGAATAGTTCCTTTTTTACTTCACCTAAGTTTTGTTCCAATCGTTGGAGAATTTATTTAAATCCTTCCGTTTTTGTATACGTTGAAAAAATACCCCATTATTTTGCATACTAATTTCATGGCTTCAAAGGAAATTTCAAATTTAGCTTTTTCTCTACATAAATAAATACAATTGTAATTACAAAGCTTCCATATTTGAATGCAAGTTAATTCTAAATTTAAATATTAAAAATTAATGGAACGAGTTAATATAAGCATTGTTTAATTAAAAATGAGCATTAAAATTATTAACACTTTTAATGTTTGAGATATTTAAGTATTATCAAACTAATACTTTTACGCAGTGAGATTTTTACTTGAACATAAATCTTACAAATTAAACAGGGCCAATTATGGAAAATTACATGGTGATATTATCACATAATCATCACTATGAGACACGTGACGCTATCAATGCCTTCACTGTTATAACCATGGAAGCTTAATGCCTGGTTTTTAAATGTTAGTGGTAGCATAATTTAAAAAATTCTATCTTATATAAGTCATGACGTTACCAACATGTGATGTCTATTAGAGGCACTTCTAGGCGAATATTCAATTTTATGTTTATTTTGAAGTGGTATTAATATTTTTGTAGTTTTTTTTTAATGTATACACGTACACTTTTAAGACAAAAAAATAATTAAATATTACTCAAAGTAATTAAAACACCAAATTGAAAGTATGTATGCATATAATTGAATTTCGTAATTTTACTAACCAGGAATCGATTTAAATTTTTTTTTATTTAACGTTTAAATATATTATGACGTTATCATCATAATATATTATAAATAAACATATTAAAACATTATTCAATTTTTTCGTTTAACATTTTAATGATACTATGTTTTTACGTTTAAAGAATTCAAAACATAATTCACTACGATAAGTGGTTTTTAATATCAGTACTTTAATAATAACTACTTTTTTCTTACATAGAATCATTTAAATATAATCTTTGAAATGAATTAATTTTTGTTTTAATAAGAATTGTTGTTTTACGTTATAAATTATTTTTACATTTATTAATATCACGTATTTTATTATTATTATTTATTTATTTTTTTTTATATTAACGTTTGGAAAAAAATACTTAGAAGTGTAATTTTCGATATTATAAGGTCGTTTATTTAAATCTGTAAATAATACTTTTTATTGAATTATATTTATATTTTTACTTTCCATAATTTAATAGAGTAGAGTATGGTTAAATTTTATTGCATTGCTGGTATATAAATATACATTTACGAAAGACAGCGATACGGATCATTTTACGCCATACCTTTTAAAATTATTGCCAAAGAACTGAATAAATATGATATACTTTGAAAAAATTAACATTTTTTAAGAAATTCTTTATTTAACAAATTCATTTTCTACCTAGTTTCATTGGAATACAAAAACTAAGTAAACTTAAAAGTTATGTAATTTTAATAGAAATATTTATTAATTTTTTTTAGCAAAAATTTTATTTATATTGATAAGTATTAGGTATTTTAAATAATTTAAACAAACAAATAATTTAGACAAAATAAATGCATTAGTGCAATATTTTGGATAGATGACTATTTCTAATTTTATCAAATAATTTATTTATATATTAAGTGATAATTTTCAATTTTTTCATTGGTTGTATTATTTTTATTAATAATTGAACAGTACAAATGTAAATGAAGCGCTAAGATTTTTATAAATTTTTATAAATTTTTAAATTTATGTTATTTAAGGGAATTATTTTAAAAACACTATAAATCAAAATAGGTAATTTCACACTTTGACCATTTCTAGTGTGGTTGATTTTACTTTAGAACCTATTTCCATTAGATTAAAACTGTAGATCAATTAGTCACTGCCAATAATTATTGTAGTTTTGAACTCATAAGAACGGCCTATATTATGAAAATTAAACAATACCAAATAGTTTAAAAATCTTAACAACACAAAAAAATATTCAGGTGAATAAATTTAATGATAATTGAATTGTGTAATCCATTCATTTTATTAATTATTTCGAAATAAAATTTTAGTTTTCAACATGCTATTTGGTATTCTTTGATTTGTATATAATTTTAATAGTTACCCCATTCTGTAAAGTAATAATTTGCATGTTTTATGAATATTATTTTGAAATATGTAATATTGAATTTCATGTTGAATTCATGTAATTGCGATCTGTATAGAACGGCTAATGTCCTGAGAAAATGACTTTGTGACGTGTTTGCCATATTTCATTTTATATTCAAACAATATTACAAAATAATCTGACTGTGATGTCTTATTGCTGCATAATCGATATTTTATTGTCACGTGGATTAAATGTTACACCTTAACATTTTCCAATAATGTAAAATAATGTATTGAAATATCCTGTTTCCTTTTGTATCAACATTAATTTACACTAAGATTTTATTTATTAATGAAAAGGGAAACAAGTTAAAATTAAACTTCATCATTATTTAATTAAGTAAATTAATTCGCATTTATAATTACCAACATTTTTGACATTAATTAAGTAATTATATTAGTTCAAAAATAGTAAACGAGTTCTAAAATAGACAAAAACATTTACTAAAGTATTTATATATATATGCTTAATAATTATTCAAACAAAAATATATACAAATAGTAATTTTTATAAATTTAGATACGGGATCTTTTTTCAAACGCTAAAAGAAATAGTGCTCATGTCAATGTTTTCTTTTAATTTTTTTAATTACAGTTAGCATTTTATTGGATATTTTATGGTGGAAGACTAATTTTGTGATTCAAACCTGTTTCTTTATGCCCAAAATTTCTCAAGAATAAGAATTGAAATAATTTTGAAATATCTAAATAAATGCCTTTAAGGTACCATTCTAAACTTAAATGATGTGTATTAAAATATTTTCAAGAATATTTTATGTAAATTACTAACTATTACAATATAAATACCAAGTAAAAATATATTTTACCCCTAGTAAATTTAGTAATGTCAATTTCGGTTGTCATTTATGTATGTCAATATAATTAGGTAGTCGTATCGCATATCTAAGTTTGAAGTGCTGTCAGATGTGATTATATCCATATAATTAGGTACATAAAAATCTCAAAGGTATTTTTGTAGTTAGTCTACGTAATGAGTCATTTATATAAAAATATTTACAGATAAAATAAAAATATGTTACATCATTTTGAAAAATAATTTAATACATTGACATCACTTGATGTTATTGAGTCTGCTTGCCTCAACTTTTTCTGTATTAACTTCCGCTTTAGCAGCAGAGGACTCTTCAGATATGTCAACATGCTGATATCATGTCTTACTAAAATTTCTTACAAAATAAAAATTTTTAATTTAATTAAAATATAAGGATACATGTTTTATTTTAATTATTTTTATACATTGAAAACTACCAATAACAATAAAAAAAGTAAATAGTTTTAAAAATTATAATACATCATTTTAAATGTTATGATCTGATTTTTAACCATTTGTAATTAAAAATTGTTTATGTTACTACAGGTGAAAGTAAAACTTTGGACAAAACGCGAAGACGGATGAATGAGATAGAAATGGAGACTAAGAGCAGCAGTCATCGAGCTAATACTGGATCTAGTTGGTTACAAAAATCACATTTTATTCATATATTTACAATAATAGCTGAGTTTTTATTTCTAATTGGTACCGCATGGTCATCAAGTTGCCAGGAAATATCATCACTCGGACTTATTGTTTTTTCATTAGTCATACAACAACAGTAATTTATATTTTGTATTATTGAAAAATATTTAAGTTCCTACGACTGATGAATACCATATCGTTTTTATTATTATTAATTTTATATGAGTACGTTACAAATTAATACATCATTCATTATACAACGAAATGTAATATAATGATTTAAAATATATAATTTGTTTAATGTTTAATTTCATATTTCGTTTGTGGTAAAACATTTTTGTTATTATAACTTATTATAAATGTATGTATAATAATATATATATTAAATTTATTTTTATGAAGTATGTTTATACACTCACTATTTAGGAAAAATTAATGAATTAAGTTGGTACTTAGCTAAAAATTAAAAGTCAATGCGTTTGCTAATTAGTATCTATAAATAAAAAGTTCAATACCTTGACAGGTTTGTTCTGTTAGCTTTTTATATCTTATAAAAAATTATTTAAAATTTAATGCCTAATAAGCTATTATTATTTTTCCTCCAAATTAACTGTTATTTCTGATTTGTTAACATTTTTATTGTGAATACATTTTTTTTTGTAGTATAATGTATTATAATGATATCAGTGATATCATATTATGTTATTGCATGTATTAGAATTCTCAATGATTTTCAGTTACCATTTCTAATATTTCATGGCGGTGCATTGCTATGAAACGTGATGTCTATGGTAAGATAAGTGTAAATTAGTAAAAGGCTTAGGAATACAATTACAAAGCAAAAAAATATTGGATCAATAAATATATTTTACATGCAAATATACGAACTCATGTTTTTACTGCTTAAATAAGTCTTATTATGTATTATGCCTTAGATAAAAACATTTAAGGCCCAATACATATCAGTAAAATTTCTTAAATATATTTACAAACTCATTCATAAACCTTATTATTTCTTTTTGCTTATTGGAATAGCTGGAAACGTCAGTAATTTTATGATATTTGTAAATATTATTTGCTCCAACTGTAAATTAACCAAGAATGATGAAAATTTTGCTCAAAATAGAGACAAAAATTGGTAAGCTAATTTAACTTTGTGACGTTAACTTTTTTTTACGATTTTTAAAGCCATAATTATCGAAAAATTGTAAAATTTGTACATAATTACTTTTAAGAAGTAAAACATGTACATAATACATTTACTACATATTGTAATTTTATTTTTTACTATAAATTATGATTTTTTTTTAATAAATTTTGTGTTATTAATTTTATCATATCAAAATTTAACGTTGTTATTGGTTATTACTCTGTAGTACACTGTGGTATTTATTTAAATTATATAAAAGTAATTAATCATATAGTTGTTTTAATTAAATAAGCTAGTGTTGTTACTTTTTTTTTCGTAATGAATAATTTATGCAAATAAACTAATGTTTTATTGAACAAATACCAATTAATAAATAATAGTAGTTTTCTATATCAATAATATTATAGATATGTTTTTATTTGTGATACGTGTTCTGTGAGCATTGCTCAGTCATAATTTTATTAAAAACTATTTAAATAAAACATATTTTATGATTAAAAACAGATAGTCCGAAAAGAACTTATTCACATGAACAAAACAGCTTGATGAAATAATTAAACTTAAGAAAAATAGACTATTTCCTCATTATTTATTAATTTTATTTATATTTCTTCTTCTTCTTCTTCAGCTTTTATAGGCCATTAAGGCCTATCACTGCTCCACACAGCCTCCTCCATTCCTCTCGATCATTTGCTGATTATTCCGGGTCAAGGTAATTATTGTGACTATATCCACTCCCAGATATTTAAATCTTTCTACTTTTCGAAACAATAATTTTCAATGTCCAAATTTAGTAATGCATGCACTTTTCCATTGAAACTGACGCCATTCGCTGTTTCTTGAACTTCCCTAACTACCTCCTCTAGGGCAATGTTAAATAGCATCCCCTTGTTTTAAACCTACTGTTGTCTCGAATTCTTCTGAGTAATAGTTTCCGAATTAGATTTTACAACTCAATCCCTCAATGCATGCTTTAACCATTTTGACTAATTTCGCTGGTACACCGAACTTTTCCACAGTGATTTTCTCTTTATAGAATCATATGTCTGTTTAAAATCTATAAACAGTAGGTGTAATGGCTTATTATACTTGTAATATTTTACTATTAGCTGTCTTAGTGTAAACACGTGATCAACTGCAGATTTTTCTGATTTAAAGTTGTATTGGTATTCACCTACTATTTCTTTCGTATATGGTTTTAGTCTATTTAAGATAACATTGATAATATTTTATAAGCTGCATTGAGTAGCGATATACTCCAGTAATTATGACAGTCTCCTGGGTCCCTTTTTTTAAATATAGGACATATTACTGCTACCTTCCGTTCTTCTAGTATCTGTTCTGTTATTTATATTTAGATAGAGTAAGTATTTGATAAGAGTAAATTAATTGTAACGTATTAAACTATTTTATGAATAAATGCTACGGTTCATTACGCCTTATGAAAAATATCTATAGTTGAATCTAAACTTATTAACAAATGCATTTGTTTTATTACTATAGTTGAATATTTTCAACATATTTTATTGATCGAAATGTTTTGTTAGAATTAAATTTTTTCCATTAGAATATGTATGAGTTCAAAAAATGTTTATAATTAATAGTTTTTTATTAAAAATTAAATAATTAAGCTATAGACACCTTTAATATTGCATAAATAATAATAATATAAAAATTAAACAATTGTTAGTACCTATTTTAAATAAAATGTTGTATCTTTTAAAATCTTAAGAAAATAAATAATTTGCCAAATAACTAATTTGAAAAATGTATACTTCAAAATCTAGCATAGCATCATTAAGTAAATCACTTATTTGAATAAATGGCCAATTATTTTATTTTTTACGACAAGCGTCGTTTTTTAACGTAATTACTTTAAAATTTTGACATTAATTGCGTACAATATGTATTATAGCTATCTAAAATAATGTATTTAAATTTACAAAGGTTTCAATTTAAGTAGTTAACAGTATGTTCAACAAAAAACGTAGTTTTTACTAATCAAATATTGTGATAATTATACCAAGTATAGTGATTCTATCAAAATGTATCTATTGAGTATAAATTTTCTAAAACAAAAAATATATACATTATTTTTTTAATATATTTTAAAATAATGGTCAAAATTACACTTTGATACAGCATTGAATATGAATCATAAGTTAATGCTAATATTTAAGATAAAATAAATTTTGTAGACAATTTATGACCGACAGGATAACACAATTTAAAGAGATTTAAAAGTATGACGAGGATTGTGTGACACGTACTAATGTAGACGACAAAGTATTTACAGTTTGTAGCGACGAGCCGTTTATCTTACAAAGTATATAAACTATTAGATAAATGAAATAATAAAGTCATACTAAGACTGTTAAGTCGTGATTTCGATCCCACTGAACTTATTTCGATCTCGTACCTTACACGTTACCGTAAGAATTTATCAGAAAATCATCGCCCGGTCTTTTTATCGCTATTTAACACTACAAAATTTCTTTGACAAGCCGTGCGCGTACAAAGGCAATATAAATAGTTCACAATAGTTGAATGATCCTTTGTGGTACGGCAGTACGGTACGGTGTAAAAAACCAACGGTCAGGAATTAAAAACGGCGCGTACAGTTATGTGTCACGAAGATGACTTCAAAATATTTTTACGGCGGTCGCGTGGGCCGTGCAGCACTTGCTGGACGTTGTACTGTGGCGTATGGGCACGTGGAGTTGGTCAGTAAAACTAGCACTTACACGTAGTAGGGCGACAGCTGAAAAAAAAGGCGCGGGTGCAATCATTTTTTTAAAATTATGAATACTTCACATTTTGATCTTAATAATTGTGGGAATATAGATTTATCTCTGTATACATTTCTAAATATATGCTTTATAAACACTCTGTATATAAAATTATTGGTGTTTGTACGTATGCAGCACCTATATATTAGAATTATTAGTGATTATACTTATGAAACACTCTTTACATTCAAACTAAGAGTGCTTAAACTATACAACCTTATCTATTCAGACTAATCGGTTTATCATAAATCTCTGGATTTCTTTTAAAAATAAATTCAATATTTGGAAAAAAATGTTCTTTTAAGTTACGTATATTTCTTGATTTTTCAGTTACAAATTACTTTTTAGAATTATTCCTTATTACTTATAGGGGTGTCCACTTTATTTTTTCAAACAACAACTTACATAATTAACAAGCTTATTTAATAGATAATGATGTAATTAAGAATATTAAGACTTATCGATAACAACTTTTGGACTAGTATTTTGGATAATACTCTGATTTTTATATCTAAAAATAGTACGATCGAAAAATGACTAGTAATAAAAATAGCAGCACTACAGTCATTAATTTAAATTGTTAATAACTTCTGAAATAAATTCCAGGTTTACATTTCTGCACACTGTAGAGTTTACCCTCTATATATTGAACATTTCAGGGTTTATACTTATTTTAATTACTAACTTAAGTTAAGCGGATGCCTCATAATATTATATTATAATCGGATGAAGATTTTTGAATCGGTATGATCCACTGTATAAGGAAATTATTATGACAAGCATAATACACGTTTTTATGAAATATAACGTTATTAAAAGAAGTAAGCTATATAATTTATTTTTAATTTCCTTAGTTTATTGAAAAGACTTTCTATTAAAAATGTTCTACTATTAGAATTATAAAAAAATATAAAATACTCATTCATACATAGCGTTGATTTAAGTTCATTTGTATCGTTTCAAATCTTATTATTGGATAGCATAAAATATTATAAAAAATAATTATACTATTACAAATAATTACCCATTACTATTATAGTAATAATTATTCCTGAGAAAAGAACTTAAAAGTCGAAGACGTTTTGTAGTCACTGTAGTGCTATCTGTTGATAAATTATATGAAATTCAAATGTCATACAAAGTAGTTCATTGAAAGCAGCATACATACCAATAAAAAATAATAAAATTAAATGATTATTTAAAAGAGAAATATTAAATAAAAATCTTATATATTAGAACAAACAATACAAAAGTTGTTTTACGTTTATTTTATTTTGACACCAATCTGCCTGCTGCCACTTATAATATTAATAAGGTACCATTGGCTTTAACATTTAACAGTATTTTTAGCATTCAAAAACTAAAAATAATTTTTATTAGTTTTACGGCTCAATATGTTGAAGATTTTATGAATAGTGTGTGAATGGCAGATATACAATATATTATTCAGTGTAGTTACAATTACCAAGGGGCAAGTAACGATTTCAGTAAATTTGCAAAAGGGTATTATTAAATTTTGTTGGTATTATGAAGCATTGAATATTTATTTAGATTTGTCAATATTTTATTTACGCATGTAAAGAAAAATAAATAAAATTATAAATCAGTTTTATCTAAAGGGCTTATATAAAAGGGATTATATCAAAAATATCTATTTGTATAACACATCATTAAAATTAATAACTTTTTTTTTGATTTCTTACAAAAATGATAAAATTGATATATTATCTTTGAAAAATAACCACAGACATTATTTTTTGTTTAATTGGAACAAATTATAGCTGTCCTTGTTATTATAACACAGTCTCAATAATGGACGATATTTTAGCATTATTAAATCAGTAATAAGCAATAAAATGAAAAATTTTAAAACTACAATTTTATTTTAGATTACTTAATAATTAAGTATCATTATAATAATTATTGTATCATCTAATTTAATGTAAGAGTTCTCATTCGAAATAAAAACGTCAATAGTTTTTCTTTCAAGTAAGTAAAACATTGATTTTATTACTAAAAAAGAGTTTGAACCCTATATTCAAAACTAAAATAATAATAATTTAAAAAATATTAATTTTCAATCAATTCTTAAAAAAAATATTTTTTACTTATAACCAATCACTTTTATATAAATATATTTCTAGTATAATTATATAAGGGTAATAATTAAAAACCAAGTACATTCAGGACCTTGTATAGTAGACTAAAGTATTGACTAAAATTTGACAGTCATTTACATTAGTAATATAAAACGCTTGAATAAAATTGTTTATAATGAAAAACTCTAACTAAAATTTTTAAATTCACGTCCAGTTTTTGTACTTTTAGTTTTGATACGATTTTTATGAAATACACATTAAAAAGAATAGTTGTCTTCAATATTAATGATAAAAATGTAGTAATATGTCTATTACCATATTACATTGTATTCCTCAACCTTTCA